CAGCATAAAAATTAACACCCAGTCCCAAGATAATGCCCATGCAGCTGAGAAACAACATGTCACGAAGAGCCGCCACCCCGGGCTGCAGATTCGTGTCGTCTGGGACCTGCGCGGATGCTAAGCTTGGGTTTTTCCGCACACACACCTACTCTTCAACAGTGTCGCCAGTGTCGCTGGAACAAGCGTTCCTGCCCCGAACATTGGGTACCGCACAAGGTTGGCAGGTGGTTTGTAACAGTTCCAGCAAGCGTTTAACAGGAAAACTCCGAAGCAGCTTGAAATACAACTAGGATCAACTGAAAGACCTCTGCTCAAGCCGACATGCAAGCAACAGTGAGCGGCCAAGCACCCTGAAGGAACCTGCGGCCCACGGCGACCCGAGGAATCGCTGCGACTTCGCCGTGGGCCCCGAGGGCTCGCGCGAGCGAGATCCATCCAGTCGCTAGCGTAGTTCTCCTCCTGCTGCAACAAAATGGCTCAGGGGCGTCGCGATCTCACACTGAGTATGCCAGTTCTTGGCACCATCTCTGCTTCGACTTGTTATAAAAGAGTCAAGCAACAAATTGAGGGAATTCAATGCCTTGGCCCAGACAATGGCGGAGCACCTGTTACATGGTGACGCGCCGTCCTCAACTCGATGAATCTAGAATGGAAGCAGCTTCTGAACAATGGAGTTGGGCCATGGATTGCTTGGGAATTAGATATGATGAGTCTCAGGACATTTCTGGAGAGCTGCCTGAACTGTATGAACCTTTTTGAGAAGCAATAGTGATCAATAGTGTGAAGGTGGAACTCACCGACTCCAAACTGATCCGGGACGGGAGACTTTCCCACAATGCTGACAACAATATGAGCCATAGACCTGGGAAGAAATAAATGCCAAATTGCGGGTAGAAAATGCTGGCGCTGATAGACAGAGCGCATGCATCAGAAAACGGGAAAGCCAACCTTTGCATACTTAACGCGGCAGCTAGGCTTGTAGGCCCGTAGCGCCGTCGCACTCTGCAACGCCCAAAACCATGCTGCCCTTCAACCCGCACTCTGCACATCTCCTCTGGAGGTGGGGCCTTTCTCTGCCGACTGACGCTGCGCTCCGGGCCTGAGCTGTCACGCTGCTGTCCACGATCTCTTGCGGCCAAACTCAGGGTTCGGCCTAAGGGTGTGCGGGTGATTGGTGCACAGCTCCCTTTGTGTTTTGGGCCTGGTGGCCAAGAGGGCCACGACACCTTAAACGGCAAATCGTAAGCTAGCAAAGGCAAATCCTCGAAGCAAGAGACTGGCCCCGAAGTTACTGAGTCCTTGCCACTTGCTCCTCTGTAGCCGGGGGGCTTTCTGTAAGCTCATCCGCATGACTGAGCCGCAAGTGCCGGACAGGCACCTCTACCTGGGAGTCCAGTCACCGTTGCTTGAAACCGCGCTCCCAGTGCTGTGGAGTTCGATGTTCATGGTTCAATAGTTGCTTTTCGCTGCGGCTACGTTACATCAAAGGCCTCGGCCAATAATTCTGCCAGTTCTGCACTGTCGTGTTGACAGATATGCTTCTTAAGTTTCATGGGCACCCTGATCGAAATCCAGCTTGATTCGCGATCTCCACGACCAGGTCGTTTCGAGCTTCGGACTGCGCTTTCGGTTCGAACTGCCGCACGCCTCAGTGTCATCCCTGCAAAGTACTGTGTTTATGTACATCCAAGGCACTGGCAGACGGCGTCCTCTGAACTGGACCGTGCAAAGCTGCGCCGGCACATTGATGCTGAGCAGACGGCCTTGTCTGTCAGTTGTCCGACTTTTCGCAGGAAACCCAGTTGTTAGGCGTCAGACAGCAGCATTCGGTGCCTGTTCGCTTCCACATTTCCTTTGCAAATCTGCCTCCTTCCTTTGCCGGTGGCACCACTGTAGCACTTATCTGACACGTCTCTGGCCGGATGCTGACTGAACTGTCGGGGAGGAACCATTTGATGGGATGATTCCTCCCAAGTGATGCTTGGGTCCCACTACCTGGCTCTTTGTATTCCGACTGTCGTGTTGGATGCATTGCACCGTTGAGGCAAGTTCGAGATTCTGTGTCTGTGGACAACTTCCGGTTCCTGGCCGAAGTCTGCTCGGTGCTTGTACTCTTTGGGACTGAGCGTCTCTAACAAACACAATTCCTGGATCGTGACAAATGCAGCTATGGTGAAGCACACCTCCGTCCATTATGTTCGAATCTGGATTCGCGGCAATACAGCTCCATTTCCGGTGCCTTCTAAGAATTGCTGCTCTTTGTTTGGGCTCCTTAACCAACTGTTACGGTAAAGACACTCTGCCGCAGAAACTTCGTTGTGACGGGGTGCCCTGGTCTCTCGCCGAATACTCTGCGAAGTCCACTTCATCCAAGACAGTCACCTCACCGGCTCACACTCCATTGATTGTTCCCAGCCAGCGTTGGCATCTCTGGGGAACTTCTAGCTGCCACTCTAGTAGGTCTTGGCACTATATGGCTTTGACACCTACTGCAAATTCCGGCTTCGGCAATCAAGCTTCATGGCTGCTGTGCAGCTTGTCACAAGACGGCCGAACCGAACGGGATAGCCACTACGGCAGTGCTACGCCGCATCCTTAATGCTGGGCCCAAGCCTGCTTGCCCGGTTGTAGCCCTCGGCAGTGTCTGGCAGCTGTCACAGCATCGTCCCACTTCAGTACCATCGGGCTATCAGGAGCTCGAACAGCCCAACGTCTTCGGAACCTCCTCCCAACATTTCGAGTCTATTGAGGTTGGGCTCCGGGCACTAATCTCCGCAGCTTGTGACACATGAGAAGCTTAGCCATCCGGAAGAGTCCACCCTACCTAATGGCCGTGGAGCCAGACCGCCGGCGAGTTCACAGCAAGGCAACCATGGTAGACATGCTTCTTGCTTGATTTCTTGCCGTAAATAGTCCACCGACGCACGGCTTCTCAAGTGAGGCAAACCCTGCCTCTGGGCTGGAGATGTCGTGCTTCACCTGTCAACGGTCTTGGTGACCCGTAAGCTGTGGCAGCTGTGGTAGTCATGAAGTGCAGTGCAATGTAATTAACTCAGCCGCGGCCCAATCCCAAAGCATGTGCCCAAAGACTTCCAATACTACGGCCGACAACTTGCAAGCAGCCAGCATGTTTAACATGCGGCCCACCCCCCCCCCAATCCTGCAGCAACAAACCTAGGCCGGCGCACTTTTCAGCTGCATGGCAACCCTCCTCGCTGGAGATTCGATGCAGCCCGGGCTAGGAGCATCCTTGGGGTCAAGGCACTGTCCCTCTGCCTTTTAAGGCTGCTTGAGATTATGGTCCTTTCTTGCACATTATGTTGCGCATCGTGCATAGTACGGTCCGTGAACGGGGACAATGATTGAACAACCCCCCGGCTGGAGTCGAATTCGACTCTCACAGCTCGACGTCGCAGCAAGCCACATGCCTCGGTCTCAGCATAACCCAAGTTTGGGGCAGCTTCTTTCATGCAGTGCTATGTGCGTGTATATAGATAGATAGA